AAGTGAGCGGGTTGGGTGTTATCTGGTTGAGAGACGGTTTAGGGTTTAGGGTTTAGGGTTTAGGGTTTTAGGGTTTAGGGTTTAGGGTTTAGGGTTTAGGGTCTGACTGAACCCCATAGGCCCTAAGCCGTACTTGATGCTTAGGGGCTGGGTAGGTAACCTTCAACCTATTGAGGCTTTTAATATCCTACTATAATTGAAAAGGTGAACCTATCTTGGGCTAGGGTACTGAGCCTCTAAGGATGGATGTTCTCAGGCGGAAGATGACAAACCCTAGCACCAAATGCAACGTACCCAAGGCCCCACCTTCAATTCTGGAGGTTTTCGGTTCTCAATGGCAAAGCTGCCACATAAAGGAGCCTGAGTCATTAACCTTACTGGTTCCCTTCTGAGGCCCTGTAGAATTGTATGAAAAGTGTACCCTCGAAGCATCTTCTAAAGGCAACGAAGATCCGAAGGTCCTAGGTGGACATATGAAAACTATACCCTCGAACCATCTTCTAAAGGCAACGAATATCCAATGGTCCTAGGGCTGTTCCAGAGTTGGACACAGCTCTGGTGTTTTGTCTATCCCAAAGGCTCCTATGTACTGTTATGGGGGATACTTCCCTAAATCATGATAGTAATTCCTAATATAGAAACCCTACAGTCTACTATATAGGTACATTGGACCCTTTGTCTATGGCTGCTCTCGAGTGAGTAAGCTTCGACCCGGCCAGAAAATAGAGGTGGCTCTTCAGCCAGGGTTTAGGGTTTAGGGTTTAGGGTTTAGGTAGCTTCCCAGTGGGTACGGTACGGATCGGGACAAAGAGCGAAACAAAAAGCCTTGATAGTCCAAGCTGTTTGACCTTACCCTTGGCAGGGACACTGCAGCTGGGGTTCATGGCCGGATGTTCTTGGGGTTTCGGCGGTGGCGCCGACGAGATCTTCCCACAGCTCTGGCGCTACACCACCGCCTCTCCTAGCATACGGGTAGTTGTCAAAATTATGGTCCCTTTTGGGGTACCCTAAATAATAGGTGCCGTATTATAATAAGGACCCAAAAAGGGACCATAATTTTGACAACCACCCATACCCCTGCACTGCACCAACTTGCAAGTGTCACGATCGCGCGGCAGTTTTGATTGCAGAGATTCGGGGGAATTTCAACGTTGCTCCCTGTGCAATGTGGAAGGCCTAAGTACCATGTGTACGATGTTGGCTACAGCCCTATTTTGCCACAGGAGCAGGCACACCTGGACTTAGTCTGCGACTCAGAGAATCGGGCTAGCTTGCCGCCGCAGCAACAGGAACACCTTTGCAAAATCTTGCATTGGCGTCCTTCACATAGGTTTCTGCTGGTTCATTCTACTTGTTCACATGAGTCTTGTCTGTCTTATGTCTCACACCCGTCTTGCAGCTCTTCTAACTAATTCACACTGTCGTCACGCCGACAGCTTCCCTTTGAGGGTTGGAAGCCGTTCCGCTTCCGTGTCCGAAGTGCAAGCAGGACTATGGACGGCTTTCTGGAGCTCTTGCTTTGACTTTGAGAATTCGATCAAACCGACGCATTTGTTGACCCCCAGTGTTCATGCAGCGCATGGTTGAGCAGAGGGCTCAACAGGGATGGAGTCTTTCCAAGGCTTCTGCCATGGGCTTATGCAGGCAAGCAGCAAAATTTCGCGAGCGGGTTTGCTTTCAGGCCGGTTTATTCTTGCATGTTCTTTCAAAGCTCCCCGGGTATCTGTGCAAGTGCTCACAGCAACACTCCCTCGTGAGTGGAAGAGGCTGCGCAACGTCTTTCGAGTTTGTGCCCCGACGGTTCCTCACCTACGCACATCATGATGAGGCCCAAAGCGTAAATTGAAATCCTGTCATCACTTGTAGATGCAAAGCCGCAGATATTCTGCCCAGGCCGTCAAGACACTGGAGGCAGACATCCAGGAGCGCCATTAAAATTGTGAGTCTGTCTGTGTTCGCATGCGCGTGATCTTTGTCTGGAGCTAAGGGAGCCAAGTAGAGACCCTGAACCATAGAATCCGTACGACGGCATGGCAGTAATGCATCGGTACCGTCCACATCGAACATGTTATCAGTGTTTTGCTAGCACATTGCCACAGTGAGCAATAATGTGCCTTGTTGCAGACCGACCACAGTATTCTTGGGTCGGTCTTGAGAACTCAGGCTTGCTATGAACGCACCTGGCCAGTTACTCGGGTCAATACGATCTTCATCTGTTTGTTGAGTCCTGAAGTGATTCAGCTTTTCGTGCGTGTACGGATGTGAGATCCGGGGTACTCTAAAAGGTTCATGCCTCCATCTTTATATATGTATATCCCAAATACAATTATCTCTATGCTCGTGCACGCTTGTGGCCTATTGCATGCACGACGTTCGAGCTTTGCGGAAATTCCGGCCCTAAACCCTAAACCCTAAACCCTAAACCCTAAGCTGTCGGTTTCCTATTTGCCGTTTTGGGCGTTCTCAGCTTGTTCAAGTTCCGATCGGACTGAAGTTCATGTACCTGCATTCCTGTGTCTTGCAGCGGGAGAGGTAATAGAGGGACCTTACTAATTAGAATAGGGTTTGGGTATAAGAAACTAGCATTATAACAAGTTACCCCGCAAAAACCCTATTCTGATTAGTTTGGGATATAAGATACTATCATTATAGCAAGTTACCCTGCAAAAAAAATCTGACTATGAAGGCCCCTACAGTCGCTCGAGCACCGGCCTCGCTTCGTGACTCTGCCAGACTCCGACCCCCGGGTTGTAGTACTCTTGATGATATAAATCCTGCACTACCCATAATAAGGTTTAGGGTTCAGGGTTTAGGTTTTAGGGTTTAGGGTTTAGCCATACTAAGGAATATACCATAACTTAGGGGCTGAGTAGGTAACCTTTAACCTTCTGGGGCTTATATAACCAGCCTCTAAGTAAATCCTGCATTACCCGTAATAAGGAATATACGATAATTCCACAGTTTAGGGTTCTTAAGGTAATGCAGGGTTCATAACATCAACAGGTATGGTGAGCCTGTGTGTCGCTTCAATCTGCTTTGACACACATGTTTTAATGCCATGTCTCTGGGCGTCCCTGAAAGCCTTCTTCTGACTCCTAGCTAGTATTAGGAGACCCCTTAAAGGGGACCCTAGGGTTTAGGGTT